GCTTCTATATACAAAGAAAGAAAAAAAAAAAAAAGTGAGGCTCCTGCCATAGGCCCCAATCCTACTGAAATCACTGAGCATCTTGCTGTTGAATTCAATGACTGTAGGAATAATCACACAATGACTTTAATGTGAATAGTTTTTGTCAGGGACAGTTCTTGTAACCAAAGGAGTTTCTTGGAGCTGCCAGTGTGCGAGGAAACAGTCTGATAAATCTGAGGTAAATTTTTTCTTAGGAGGGTAAGAGAAAGGCAGAGAAACAGTTTGGGAAGTTTTAGACCCTTCAGTTTAGGTCTTGTCCCTGCACGATTACTTGGAAAGTTATTTTTGATAAGCAATTTTTCCCCACTCCATAGAGCCCCTTCCTCTCCCCCTCACATACCCTTCCCTCTGCTCTCAAACATCCCACATGTCTATTCCATGGTTTTCCTTTATGACCTTGTTTCTCCCTTTGATCAACTCACAAAACATCACCCTTTCACTCTGCCTCTCCCCCTACCTAAGCCCCTTCCCCCCTTCTCACACAGCTCCCTTTTCTGCCTCTGTCTCCCCTAAGTTCCTAAGGAGAAAGAAATGGAAACATGCATGTGGAACAGACACCTTGTCAGAGACATTTTTGCAAAGAAAGGTGGTGATATGACCATTGCAGGTCTTCCAAAAATCATGCTGGAAAGGACACATTACAATGACAGGTGAGAGGGAAAACAAAGAAATTCAAGCGGTATGTTGGCCTAGATTGCCCCCAGTGAGTCAACTTGATTGTATACTTTTGTTTAATCTTAAAGAGGTACTTCTGTAAATACTGAGAGAGACTAATGCAGTAAGGGAACTAGAAGCCCTGTACATGTAGTTCATTGGCATGCAGAAATGTATCATGATCATTTTCTACGGATATTCTCTCCAAGAGGAGGAATGTGCAGTATCCACAGTGGTTACCATTATATCTTTCCAATCAAAGGGGAGATCCAGAATGAACACAACATGTCATTACATTTACTTCCCTAGGGATGGGAGCTGAATGGGAAAAGTACAGGGAAAAAATTTCCATGGGTATTAGCATATGCATTGAGCACCAGATTACAGCCATTTTTTTCCTTTCCTGGGAAACTTTTTCCATTATTGGAGTTTGAGCTTTCACTAATTTGTCATTTGCTTTCTTTAACTCAGCAGCAAAACCCACAGCAAACTAAATGACAAAGTGATGTTCATGAGACTTAAAGGGACAAATATTACATCTCATACCGTTTCTCCCACAACGTGGCTATGGAACCTGTTATATGATATGCATATAATGAATTATGCATTATTTGCATTATTTGACCAATTATGTTACTTCTTCTCCCCTAAGCAGATCCACACTCTAGGTTACTAGGCCTTGTGAGACCTCTCCCCAATCCTATAGATCATGTAAGCCAGGACCTCCCCAAAAATCACTTCTGCAGGGCTGTCCTATAAAAAGTTGGCGAGAAAGTTACTGAGAGCAGGAGTAGTCACTACTTTTCCCTCCCAGACCCTGTTGACTCCCTCTAATGAAAGCAAAAGGTGCTTTGCTGGCAACTCTTAATTCATCTGTGAATCTTCACTGTATATGATGGTTCGCTAAAAGACCAAGTTCATGGATTACACTGACTAAATGAGAATCTAAACTACCATTTTTTCAAAAAGTTTGTAGGTCTTGTGGTTGTGAAGCAAGAGAACCTTAAAGGATCAAAGGCAGAAAGCAATGAAAAGAGCGGGCCCCAGGATTTCTGGGCCACTCTTCTGACTTTGGGGAGCCTGAGGCCTGATTTTTAGATGGTAGGAACTAGCCGCTTTTACAGTAGTTTTTTTCAGGGGGTTGTAGAGGTACGGGGAACATCTGATGATTAGGGAAATGAAGGAGGATCAGAGAGTTTATTAATCTGAATGAAAAAGGAACTTTCTCCTCTTAACTTCTCCCCCTCTCTTCCATCTGCAAGAAGCCTTTGTACATTGCACTGCATCTTCTCAGTGACAGGGTATTAAAGCACACTTTGGGTACCAAATAAATACATTGCTTAAATATTTAAACAAGACAGACTGAAGGACAAGAAAAAAACTATTTGCCAGGATCTAAGACAATACAGCCTCATTTTCCCCTCATGTGCCTGAAGTTACAAATGAAACAATCCTGGCAGTTAAGCATGTATTCATTGCAATTGGCAGGCTTTAGTCAAAAGCCATTCGAGGCTGGAACAGCAAGGGTGTTTGCCGTAAAGAATAACCTGCCATAGCTGAAGAGACCCATCTGTATTAACATAAGTGCCACATTGTGTCAGACCACAGATCCAGCATCTTATTATCTAAGTGGAGAGAGTGGATGTCAGGCGAAAGTATTTATACAGGGCTCGTCCAAACTTGTCTTTCTGAACTGCTCTCTTACAGTTTCCAGCATTCAGGAACCCTAAAAGTCCTATTTTGGACGAAGCAGTCCTAACTATTTTGCATAGTACCCACTGATGGACCTATCCTGCATGTATCTGTCCAGTCCTCTTTTGAACCCAATTACATAATCAGCCTCTACAATATTTTGTGTCAATGAGTTCCACAAGTTAATTACACAACATGTAAGAATAAAAAAAATAAATTAAACCTGTTTAGTAGCAATTTAATTGTATGTCTCCTACCAAAAGGGATTGAGTGGAGGGCAGGCAGGGGCTGAGGTTCCTGAGTGAGGGGCACAGGTGGGGCTGTGGGTTGGGGGTGAGGAGCAAGGGCATGGGCAGGGGAAGGGCACCAACATATCAGTGCTGCTCAGCGCCACAAAGCAGCTGCGGTTCCAGCTGCAGCTGTTCCCACATCCTGATGAGCAAAGGGGGCAAAGGCAGCTCTGATTTTTCTATGATATAAAAACCCAAAAATAAATGCCAAAGTGCATAGATATTTAGAATTAATTTTATGATGATGAGAAAGGCACTGGTAGGCTTCCAAACTGCTTTAAAATTGTACATATATCAATAAAACATTGCCCAACTGATCTCTCAATATATAGTGGCATTTCATTTTAATCTAGGGAAAACAGATTTTGTGTATTTTAATGAGAGAATTTGGATTTTTTTAAATAAAAGAATTTGCAGTTTTTAAACAGGGAACATCAGGATCCCTCCTGATGAGGCAAGGGGTGGGACACAGGCAGAGGAGCCTGCCTAGAGCCAGCACTGGGGACCCAGCTGGAGGGCAGATGAGGTGACTGACCTCTAGGCCATTTGGGGCCAGGAGGACACACTTCGACAGTATAAAGTGGGCCACCACTATGAGCACATCTTCCAGGTGATAGCTGCCCAGATGGCTGGGGGCACCAGAAGACATGACAAGTGCTCCAAAGGCGAACTGTACAGCCACGGCCCACTGGCAGCTGGCCCAAAAGTGCAGGTGGCACTGCTGCAGTACCCATACCACAGCCCAGGCAGCCATGCAGTCCCCATCTGGGGCTGACAGGCGTGCAGCCATAGGGCCGCAAGTCCAAGGGTACGGATGCTGTCACAGGTGGCAGCAGGTCACAGCCAGGCAGCACCCCCCCTGCCAGACTGCTGCAGTGTGTAGAGGGTGCAGGGGCCACTCTGGGTCAGAGCAGCTGCAGCAGTCCAGCTTGCACAAGGGGCTTGTGTCCCCAGAGACTAACTGGCTGGGCCTCAGAAGCTCCTGAGGGCAAGTAGCCCTGTGCTGCTTGCCAGAGCAGCTTTTTATATTGCTGGAGCCAGCACAGGTGCTGGTCCCAGCCTCTAGTGCTCCCCTGGCTGAAGATCCAAGGTCAGTTTGCCCCACACCAAAATGCACATTCAGGTATGTGTGTTGAGGTACAAATCTCCAGCACAAATTTGTGCTACTGCTATTTGAGCTGCTGGAAGTCCAGGGGCCTGCATGTGTGGATATCCACAGAGTTCAATCCAGAAAAGCACAGAACTCTCCCCCACAATCCAGCCAAGCACTTAAGTACATGATAAATTCTAAAAAGACAATGAAATGTTTAAATATGTTTAAAGACAAATATGCATTGAAGGCCTTGGCTATATTTGGTCAAACAACTCTGTGCTGTGCAGTATTGGGCCCTAAAGCCCCATACATGTTCACAGCTATGACTTGGTAAAACCTGCAGTGGCAAGTAAGTATTGCCTTCTCTTCCCAAGTACTTAAAACGAAAACAAATGAACACAAACTTTGGGGCATACTTTTGATACTTTTCAGCCAAAATAAAAACATTTCAATCTGAATTTGGCAATGCTTGTTTGTAAACATTCTCCTCTTGCAAAAAGGGCTGTTTTAAAAGTTAAAAGCTGTTGCACTGTATTTCTTGAAGAAACTACTCTGGTACTAACAGCTATTAGACATAATTGCAACTATTGTTAAAGAAAAATATTCATTTTATTAGCATAGCTAATAAACCGCTAAGGGAAACCTGCAAAAATGATCTATGCACCAAACAGGGCTGCCCCATTATCTTTCTTTCCCCCTTTTAGGCAAGGTGTACATTTTTTAGCAGGTATTCCCCATGTGTAGAAGCATGGCAAATCCCTCATGGAACCGAGCTGTGCACCCTTTGCTGCCTGCAAAATAAGTCTTCTTTTGTTCAGAAACAACTATTAAAAAAACAATGTATTTAAGTTTTTAGACAAAAGAATGTTTATTTTCCATATATATCAGAATGCCCTGCAAACTGAGTTTTAAAATAACGTAACTGTTGGAAAGCTATTTTCGAACTACAATATGGGCAAATCACGCTTTTATGGAAAGATTCTTAGCACTTCCCTGAACTTCCCCTCAACAAACAACAACAGGAGCTGTGGAAACATCAAGAGACAGCTGGAAATATTACATTATCTACAAATGATTTCATAGGAATCTTTATCTGTATCCAAGAAAGATTCTGTATCTAGGAAAGTCCATGTGGACCCTGAGCTTTACAAAAACCTTTTTAAATACTTGATGTGGAATTCTAGTTACTTCCCATTGCTATTCCTATTAGATACTTATTTTTGGCTTACCATGGATTCACTGATTAAGAGGAGAAGAAGAGCCTCTTCTATGTTGTCTTGAGGGCAGTACAGGCTGAAAGAGAAAAACACATTTTTATAAGCAAGGTTACAAATTAGCCTATCAGTCTCTATTTTAATGTCACAAGAGGACCAGTAACTTGAAACACCGCATGCATGATTCATTTGCTATACAAAACCTCCTTTTCCAGATGCATACAATTAAAAGCTCTAGAGAGTGCATCTAAAGCAAACTATTTTGACGCAGCAGTACATGAATCCCATCCTGCAAATAAGGCAGCTATTTGGTCAGAATCTTCCTTTATGAGAAAATTTAATACTCTGGATTTGGGAGGTTTGGGTTTTGTCAACAGGCCTTTTGATTAGAAGCTTTTAAAAAGCTAAATAAAAAACAAAACAAATAATCCCACATGCAACAGAACTATATGAGCCAGTAAGTTAATAGGAAGTGCTAAGGTAAACTTCAGACACACTTTTCCTTTCCACATAGAAATCAAAACAAAGGAGCTATGCTTACTTGTCTCCTGTATAGAGCTGAGGTCTTCGACATAGAAGATTGCTAACGTAAGAGTCATCTTCCTTGTTCATGAACTCTGGCAGAGGCTCAGACAAGGGGTTCCAGTAGCAGTCCTCACTCAATGAGTGGAGAAGTACTTCAGCTAACTGTTTGGCTGCAGTCTAAAGACCAATAGAAAATACAAGGAAATATCAGAAGGACTTCTTCACGCAGAAGAATGACACCTCCATCTCGCATCATGGGACACTTTTGGTACCAGAAACGTTAGGGACTCAGTTTTCATAGGGCTGAGCACCTAAATCTCCAAAGGTACAAACAGCTATATTTTTTTATCCCAGGACAAAATGCAGTCATTCAGACATCTGTCTGTTGTCCTGGGATAAATCTGGAATCAGTTCACAAGATAAAAAGTACTAACAGTTTATCCGAGACCTCATGAATTGCATCTGAATGGAAGTCCTAGGATTGCATCATTGAATCAATGGTGGAAAATGGTAGTGCATTCAGCCACTCACTAAACCCTGATTAGAAGGGTGGTGTGTGTACACACCAGTCCCAGGATATTCTTATTTCAGGACAAAAACAGGCACAGCTTGTCAAGGAACAAATTCAACATCTGTTCTCAGCCCAAATGCAATCAATAGAAGCTGCAGATGTTCCACTCCTCTGGAACTAGGCCCTTAAAACTGGGATAAAGCAGCAGTGGGGAACTAGGCCCTTAAAACTGAGATAAAGCAAGACAAGCTCCAAAGAAAGGGATATGTTAATTCTCATGACTGAGAAGCAGTCCCCTTAAGGATACCCAAGGCTCCATCTGTTGTGCAGCTATCACCATGTTAGAATGCAGTTGTACTCTAACCACCTTCAGCTTTATCCAGCTGAACCTGTATCCACTCATCTCAGCTCAGGGGGGAACATACATACATCCAAAATTAAAGGACCACTCCTTCAGCTGCTGGAGAGGTACAGAAGACCACAAGACAGAGACAAGAAATTTCAGCATTATCATTCTTTTTCTTCTTCAAGAACTTCAGAACAATTTTGAATCAGGGCAGAAATCTGACACGGTCTACCTTGTCTAATACAAAGGTCCTTACACATATCACCTCCCATCCCAACATCTACAACATAAGGGTATGTCACAACCTGGCCCAAGAGGTACAATACAAACAAATGGAAGTGTCTACAGCAACTTTCGCTTTGGTATTTCCATTGTTGAAGTGTATCCAATGCATCCCATTGATTTTTGCTTAGGATGCCTATATAATACGCTTATGGTACTTCTAGTATTTTGGGACATTGAAATGCTTGGAATTTTTACAGATAAAACTATGTGCATATTTATATATGAAGTATACTAACAAAACCAGCCCTTGCTGCTCCACACTATGTACTATGTGTTGTGAATGTTGTGTATCTCACTTTTTTTATTCTATTTATAGATTACACAGAGAAAGCAAGAATCAGTGTATATTACATGCACACCTTTTTTCTAGTCTCACTCAGACCAGTTTATATAAATATGGCAAACAGGCACACAAATTATCTGCAAAATTGTGTGGAAGAATAAGACCTGATTTCATATTATAGTTCATATATAAATGTAAATATATACCTATATGGTAACATAGCAATCCTAGTTGCTCCTCACCATGTACTAATAAAGTACAAAACATTGGGAATGAAACCTCTGACCTCAATCATGTTTATTTCTAACTATGGAAAGTTCCTATTAACAGACTCCCAGTAAAACAAAAAGTAAAGACTATGGAATTAGTTTGTTTCCTCATTCAACATCTCATACAAGAAATCATACTAAGTTCAGATGCCATAGCAGTAATGTAGTGTTTCTGGAATACTGGAAAGATATGTTTCATTTCTATACCCATGGCCAACTGGTTTAAACGGCTGACATTGCTGCAAAGAAATATTACTGCATACGATTCCTTGGAGACCTTTATACCTCCATGCACTCCTAACAAACAACAGAAAGTGCTCTGCTAGTAACTAGATTCCTCTACACTTTTTAAAGCATGTAAACACAAGCAAAATAGTCTACAGTACTGTGGCATTAGCCAAAATCATTTTAACATCCCAGCATGTAATTTCACCTGAAGGCTTCAACTCCTCTACATTTTTCCCCCAAAGCCCTGGAGGGGGGAAAAAACTGCACACGTAGCAGAAATATCTCTTCCACGCTATGTGGAACTATAATTATGTTTTGGGATAAAACGCTCCAAAAGACTAGCCCCAAATGCTTTCAGTCTGCTTTGATTTTAATGTACGGTACAGAAGAGGCACAGTAAATTAACTTCACTTTTGTTTCAAATAAGACCAAACAAATTATAATAGCTTAAGTCTCTGATTTACATTATTACTGCCTTTGGCTTCTTATTTTTTTTCTTCCTTTCTTTCTTTCTTTTTTATTTTAAGGTTTATTATACTTAGACTGCACTATCAGCCTAAGTGGAAATATGCTCACATTTCATTTTAGTGCTTGGAAAACTAGCTTCATTAAGTATACTCCTGCCTTGCCTCCCACCCGCCTCGATCTACCACATGTTTAAGCTGCAGTTAAACAAAACTGTAGGGAGAGAAGACAAATACCTCTTCATCTTCCCTTGGAAATGTATCCCACCCATGTGGCACAGCTCTTCCCATGAGCACAGAGAAGGAAGAAGCCAAACACCACTCAAGTTTTAGAAACAGCAGATGGCTATTTATACTCACTATCCCTTAAGAAGTGACATAATGGGTGGACAATAAAATCTCCAGAATGCTGATCTCCATCTGGGATGTGACTGGATTATGCCAGCACGTAGTCTTTTTTTTTTTTTTTTTTTTTTTTAAAGATACCCATTTCAATTCCCGGCACAAGCTCCCAAGTGTATCCAAAGTAGGAAGATATTTATCAGTGATTGACAAAACAAACAATAGCTGTCATATTAATAACTGATCCATCCTAAGCAATATACTTAAGTAACTACCAGGCATCACAGAGATAAGGGTCTGTCTAAGAATAATGGGACAGATGCATTTCAGGACTAGGTTAGACACACAACATTAAAATTTTCCATTTTTTTTTTTCAGTTTTTAATATTGAGTAATTAATGACTGAAGCACAAATATAACCCAAATAATAAAAACCTGATGGCATATCCACAAGTGTTCAGCTATTCAGTAACATGAATGTATGTCCATTTGTAGGAGGCCCGCAAAATAAGAACGCGCAAAATATCATTACCTAGAAGAGAGCTTTACAGAAGGAAAAAAAAATGTACCAATTTAAATCTAAAAGCACTGTTTGTTCCAGGAGACAGAAGAGGTTACAACTGTTATGTGTCAATAATATGCATGTCCAAGTGTGAGAAACAGCTAAGGAAAAACATTATCAGCTGGATTCGACAATGTTAAAAATGGGCGATATATTTGGTTACACAAACACCATTATCTGTGTACGCAAAATAGGTTTAAAATAAAAGTCTTAAAAAATACACTTAGCAGAATGATGTTTTCATAAAAGAACCACCCTTGTGCCCTGGTGGAATGGTTCCAGTGTATACACTGGGTTTGTATTTGAGTTAAACATGCCACCCACATGTCCAACAAATGCATTAGTCAAAGAGGTGGGGAGGAGGTAGAAATCACATTCTTGCCCCACTGCAGTGGTCAAGGAATAAAGAAAATACCTCCACAGCAAATTAAGCTGCCTTCCCAACTCCCGAGCCCTTCCATAAATTTCCCTTACCATTCTGAAGCTCTGAGTAGCTTTCGTTTCCACAGTCCGTAAGACTTCTCGCAGATCCCTCATTCCTTTCACGATATTTCTAAGAGGAAGGCAAAAGCAGCAGGTTTAAAACAGACTATTTTTATGATATGCAAATATTGTGCAAGAAATTGACATAAAAACCCTAAAAAAAAAGATAATTGCTCTAACGTTGAGTGAATGGCAAAGAAGCAAGTCACTCAGAGATGTTGGAAGGACAATGACAAACTGAATGAGGCAGAATCAGTAGCATGTCTCCTCCAGATGGCTTCCTGTGAGAAGATCACGTTCACATTTGAAGAACAGAGGGGACATTTGGAAGCTGTTCATAGATCACATTGATAAAGCAGATGCTGCTCCTTAAAAGTGTCTGTATCTCCTCATTGCATGTACGTAACATACTCATTTGGATTAAAACTGAGCGCACGTGATGTTCGTAGATGACTACTCCGGTTTGGTTGTGATTAAACATCTGATTATTGAAAACGTGGAAAGAATTAGGTAATATACCATTATGCTATAATTAGACTAGCATAGGACAATGATCCACTCCGGCTGTATACTGGTATAACTCCCTGCGTGAACACACTTTTTCCAAATTAAGAGCAATTTTATTTGGGGTTATTTTAAACCAGGCCTGTCCGGCTCCTCAGCAGTCAAGAGCATATGCCCCGGAGGCTGTACCAGCAGGGACTGCACACCCCACTTCATGCACATGCACCCAAAAGGATGCCAGTTATACAACCCTGCTTCAAAACATTCTAAAATGTCATAAACTAAATTTGAAAGAAAAGCAGCATCCATGTAAGGAATGCACTTATAATAGCATCAGTAAAATTCACATCTGAACTTGTCTATATATTTTCCCATATAGAAAATTCTAAATTTCCTAAAAGCTAAAAAAGAAAAGTGGAACTGGTCACGCACAGTAAGAGATTTTCTATAAATATCTGATTCAGTATCTGATTCAGGCCATCTTGCTTCCATTTATGTTCAAGCCCCTTTAATGTCACATTGCACAAACATTCTATCAAGGACATCTAATGGCAGAGGAGAGTTGGAGCGGGCTGTTCTAGCTGTGATGGTCCAGCAAACATGCTAGAAGCAAGGTATTTTTAGTGATATATTTTACTGGACCAACTGTACTGTTGGGGAGAGATGTTAGAAAAAACATGAAGAAAAAAGAAGCCACTATGGGCCTAAAAGGTTGTCTAAATACCATTCCCAATGATGAGCTGGCCAAAAAGAAAGATCAGCAAGAAAATCCAAACTTTGCTGCTTGTTTGATGGCAAAAACATAAGAAAAGGTAAAATTTTAACTACTAAAGCATACTGTTGAATATTAATTGTAAATTGGCTCTTGGGGGTATTCACACTGGACACTTCACCCTAAAAGTTGCATTCATCCAGTTGGAAATTGGAAAACACCGTATGACTTAGGGTCCAACCATAACTAATCAACATATTCCAAAATCTGAAATACAAATTCTCATAATTATCTATTTATGCACAATCTACAGGAAAATAATTATTCATACAAACAACTATGAATAAATACGTGATAGAAAAAATAGCGCACAGTTCAGAAAATTTGTAAAAATATCGTAGTAAACAACATGCTTAACATATAGCAAACAAGTGAAATATTTTTAACTGAAAATATAATTTGTATGCGTCAAGGACAGGAGGCTTGAAAAAAATTTTTAGCCTGGACCTTAAGCCTGAAACAAAAACTTACAGAATTTGTGTAGTTGCCTACCTTATTGCCTTCTATGATGAGAGAACTGGTTCTCTGGATTCAGGGAGAGCAGTAGATGTGATGTACCTTGACTTTAGCAAGGCTTTTCATATGGTCTCCCACAACTTTCTCACAAGCAAGCTAAGGAAGCATGGGTTGGATTAATGGACTGGAAAGTGGATAGAGAACTGGCTGTATCATCAAGCTCAAAGGGTAATAATCAATGGTTCAATGTCTAGTAGCAGGAGGAGTGCCCCAGGGGCCCATTTTGTTCAATATCTTCACCAATAATTTGGAAGATGCGATGGGGTGCACCCTCAGTAAGTTTACCAATGACACCAAGCTTGGGGGAACAATAGATATACTGGAAGGTAGGGGTACGATTCAGAGCGACCTCGACAAGTTGGAGGATTGGACCACAAGAATTTTCATGAAGTTCAAAAAGGACAAGTGCAAAGTCCTGCATTTAAGATGGAGCAATCCAATAGACCAATACAGCCTGGGGAACGATTGGCTAAGCAGCAGCTCTGCAGAAAAGGACCTGAGGATTGCAGTGGACAATAAGCTGAATATGGGCCAATAGCATGTCCTTGGAAAGGCTGAGGGAACTGAGCTTAATTAGACTGAAGAAGGGAAGACTGATGGGGGATTTAATAAGAGCCTTCAGTTACCTGAAGGGTGGTTCCGAAGAGGATGGAGCTAGATGGTTCTCAGTGGTGGCAGATGACAGAACAAGGAGCAACAGTCTCAAGTTGCAGCAAGGGAAGTTTAGGTTAGATGTTAGGAAGAATTTTCTCACTAGGAGGGTAGTAAAACACTAGAACAGTTTACCCAGAGAGGTTGTAGAATCACCATCCTTTCAAGACCTGACTAAACAATACCTTGGCTGGGATGATCTAGTTGGGGATGATCCTGCTTTGAGCAGGGGGTTGGACCTGATGATCTCCTGAGGGCCCTTCCAACCCTCATTTTCTATGAGTCTATGATCTTTTAACATGTGAGCAGTCCCACTACAAGCTGCAGAACTGTTTATAAGGTTGGAGTATTTATTGCTATATAGTGGAAATCCAAACCAAAAAGTCAACTCCTCTAAAGATATGTCTACACTGCACTGTACAGCGCCATGCAGACTCCTGATTTAGTTCTGCACTATACAGACTCCTGATTTAGTTCCGAATGAGTTGGTTTGGTTACCATAAGCAATACAGCCATGTTAGCATGGCACTCTGCCTGGGCTAATTTACTCTGCTTCCAGCCTACAGAACACTGCATTGTGCATTGCAGATAGTCTATGTGATGCAAAAAAGCAAGCAAGGCAATGTGGCCCCTTACAGACTAACTAGTTAGGTGTCTCTCCTTTGAGTGGCATCTAAGTGGTCATTTTCAACTGTCCTCAGGAATAGATGCTCAAAAAAGTTAAGCAGGGAAACACCCAAATCAAGGTGCCTACTGAGACTACTTGAATTTTAGTCTTTAAAGTGCCACTCTGTCCTGCTTTCTGTCTGACTTTAGATTAACATGGCTAACTACCTCTCTCTCTGCAAAAATATCCACGCTTCCTCTGCTGTCAGCAGGCCTGAAAGAATATTATATTGGGGAATGTTTGTCTAGTATTTTCAAGTAAGTACTCATTTTTGTTATGATAAAAACTTTTGCTCTTAAGTGCCACTAATTTAAACTAAATAGGGTTGGAAAGAAGATTAGTTATGGGTTGTTGTGCCAATAATACACACTTATTGGCAACAGGGAACACACTAAAGAATACATGCGCAAAAAAACAGCTTGTGCTGGCGAGAAATTGTTTTAGTCCCATTCTTTAAATAATAAAGCATGAAGACAGGGACTTAAGTCTTTCAATGGGTTGAAAAATAATCAAACTGAACAAAAGGAGGAACAGAATTACTTGACACTTAATAGCTGATATGGAGGTACCCATGAAGGGGCCAGATTTTCAAGAGAGCTCAGAACCCAGATATGGCCAGGAGTGCTTTGTGAAATCTAGCCATTTCACCTAGAGGCCCGAAAAGGAGTTGAGAACTTTTGATAAAATAGCTCCAATTGTGGGAATGGGGCACCTGAAAAACCTGGCATATATTCTGTGCACCACTATGACAGCAATAAGAATTCTGGATGAGTGATGATGTAGTTTGGCTTCTTTTTGTTTTCAAATTTGCATCAAATTATGCTAAGCCCCAGCATCAAAAAAATGCAGCAAGCAAATTTCATTGCAGGGTTTGCCTTTAGTTTCCAGTTCCAGAGTAGGAAAGCATCTGAGCACACAATGAATTTTAAGTATGCAGGTAGTCCCACTGATGACACTTAGCCTATTCACATGCCAGAGAAGCTTATGGCATTTTCCCAAAGCAAAACCTAGAATAACTTACCAAAAAGACACTCACATCAATAGTGTTATTTTTGACTGAAAACAAATAACAGAGATGCACATCAGAGATGAAGATTCCTTATGATCCTGTAACATGGGCATTAACAAGATCGCTAGAGCTTAGCAAAAATGATGGCCGTATTTTACTCCAAATGTCCTTTACATAGCTGTTTTAAATAATATTCTGAGGTATATTTGTGAACATTAAGAAAGAAGAGAGTGGGCAAATTAGGTGCCTTATGGTTTAACTCTGATGCCAGTGAAGCAGTCTTTAATAACACCAACATTCTAGCTATGTATTAAAATGCATCATTCTAATTTAGTGATAAAGCAACTGAACACATATGGTGTACTTCAAGCAAACAGAGCTCAAAGCACTTTATAAACATACTTGGAAAATATTTAAGCTCTCAATTATTTAGAAATGCACATCAGCTACAAGGATGTGAAATGCAGATTCTCTCCACTAGTAAAATAAGAGAATTTACAAGAGTTAAGACACAATGAACCAAACTGGAATCTGGCCAAAATGTCTGCTCTACATTAACACCCATCCTGCAACAAAAATGCCATAAGAGATGTGATGACAGTAAGTTATCAGGATCTCATTGTTACCTTTTATTCAATAGCTGCACATGACAGTCATCATCTCTAACAGATGGTAAAGTTCACCTTGAGATGACTGTATTACAGAAAAAGAGCTGGCACAGTCACCCTCCCCCCCCCCAATTATAGTTGTACCTGCTCATAGCGTGCAGCTGGTGCCTTTCGGAATTACATCTGGCTGCAGTATGAGACTCCTGCTACAGCTTCAAAGTAACTTTCACCTTTGTTCCATTTCTGTCAGGTTTCTCAAGTTTTGGCCCTCCCTCTCCTTCCTATGTTTACCAAACAGATTGCTAAAGAAAGACTTCACACTCCTGTAAATGCAGATGCAAAG